ACTATTTGGGGTCTTTTACTTTCCATGTGAATTTTAGGATATTTTTCTATTTCTGTGAAGAATTACATTGGTATTTTTACTGGGATTCCACTGAATTTGCAAATTCTTTTTTGTAGAACAGTTATTTTACAATATTGTCTTCAGTCTGTGATCCTGGAAGGTCTTTCCATCCTTAGTGTCTAATTCAATATCTTTCTTCAAAGTTTTGAAGCTTTCCTTGGTTAGGTTTATGCATAGGCATTTTAAAGGGTATTTAGAATGAGATTATTTCTTTCAGTTTGTCTCTTAGTGTATTTGTTCTTGGTATATAGAAAGGCCATTGGTTTTCATGCACTAATCTTATCACTGAGAGTTGTAATCAGTTCTAGGAGTCTTTTGGTGGACTCTTTAGGTGGCATTTATATAGAATCATATTATCAGCAAAGAGGGATGCTTCGACTTCTTTATTTATATCTCTTTTATTTCCTTCTCTTGTCTTATTGCTCTAGCAATGAGTGGCAATGGTAGGCAGCCCTGTCTTGTCCCTGATTTTATTGGTATTGCTTCACCTTCTTCTCTATCTACCAAGATGTCGTTTTGGATTTCTCAGATGCAGCCTTTAGTATTTTCATGTGTGCTTCCTCTAATCCTATTCTCTTTAGGACTTCGATGAAAGAGATGTTGTACTTTGGATCCATGAGATGATCATGTGATTTCTGCCCTTAAGACCATTTATGTGATTTGTTACATTTATTGATTTGCTTATGTCAAACCATCCCTGCCTCTCTGAGATTAAGCCAACATGATCATGGTGACTAAAATTTTCATTACTAACTAAGGTAAAATTCTCCAGTTCTCATTATACCTTGCCTGGCATATTACATCGAGAGATATCATTGCAACCGGAGTATGGTATTTATATATTTCAAAAGACGTTGACCAAATAAAACCTGCTATGTGTGTAGACTCACACAAGCAGAATCATCCCTTTATGTCTCTTTTGTCCCTATCTTCACTGTCCCCATCCTCACTGCCAGTGGAATACAGTTAAATATGTATAGTTACAACTATTTTTGAAGATAAATTACACCTCAGAACTGTATCATTGACCCATTCAGAGCCACACAGGTCAGCTTATGCAGGGTGGGACAGAGATTCCATTTTGAAGCCTTCTGACATTATGCTCTGTACATGGTTAGTGCTAGAATTCTAAAGAAGAATATGTTCCAAACTCCTGGTTTTACAGTTGAGATAATAAGGTCCCAGGAAGGTAAGAAAATACTTGAAGCTTCAATGCTATTTTTTTTCTTTCTAAACTGTTCTCTATTCGACTCCAGATGTCTTTAGAAGTAAAACCACAACAACTTCTTAAGTATAAAGTCTCCTGGTGAGCCCCTCTTCCATTGAAAGATGATAATTTCTACTTAAAATCTACTCCCCATGCTCCTTCTTTCCTGAGGTCCAGATCTTTTTACAGCTTTTCCTACACATCTCCAGATGACCATCTGCAGGCAATAAGCCTAGTTTACTGCTTTCCAAAAATTTAATTGTTAGCAACCTCCGTGAACTTGCTGATCCATCTTAAAGTCATATATTTCCTAATGATTCTTTTCTTAGGATTATATATGTTTTCGATTCCAGGGTTTTTAGCTTTGAGTTCTCTCCTAAGTTTAGGAACTATTTTTTAAAAAAACATTTTGTTTATTATTTATATTTTATGTGTGTGAGTGTATTGCCTGCATGCATGCAAGTGCAGCTGTGTTGTGTAATGCCTGTGGCTGTCAGAGAGGGTGTCAGATCCCCTGGAACTGGAATTATGGACAGTTGCTAGCCACCATGTGGGTACTGGGAATAGAACCCAGGTCCTCTGCAAGAACAGCCAGTGCTCTTAACCATTGAGCCATTTTTCCAGTCCCAGGACTTATTTTTAAAAATATTTCATTATGTTAGGTGTGGTGGCACATGCCTTTAAGCCAAGCTCTCAGGAAGCAGAGGCAGGCAGATCTCTGTGAGTTCGAGGCCAGTCTGGTCTCCATAGTGAATCCAGGCCAGCTGGGGCTACAGGGAGACCTTGTCTCAAAAAGACCAAATTTTTTTTCAAATTTATTGTTACTTTATTTTATGTGTATGAGTGTATCGCCTGCATGGATATATGTGCACCCGTGTCATGCAATTCCCATGGAAGGCAGAAGAGGGGTTGGATCACCTGAAACTGGAATTATAGATGGTTGTCAGCACCATATGGGTGCTGGGAACTGAACCTGGGACCTCTACAAGAACAACTGGTGTTCTTAACCACTGAATCATCTCCCCAGCTCCTAAGACCTATATTTTTTATTTCTCTCTAGCATATCTTTCTGGGTACAGTATGTTTCTCAAACAGAACATGTTTTCTTAAAAACTTACATTCCCAACTATCTCCATCAATGTCTTTATCTGTATTATGAATTTTGATCAGAGATTTTTGCCACTTGCTCAGTGTCTAAAGCTGGAATCTTTGTATCATTCTTTATTCTTGCCTCAATCCTAGTCCATGCATCCAGTTAAATATCAAAGTTTACCTCTAAGTTAACTCTCAAATTTGGCCTCTTTACTTTGTTCTACTATCTTCACTGAGGCACTGTCTTACTCTATAGCCACTTTGCTTGCAAACCTGTCTTAATCTATTTTACCAAGTGAATGCATTTATTTGGATTTTAGAATGTTTCATGCATTTATTGGGATTTTAGAATGTTTCAGACAACTGTGATAAGGTTTAAGGCAGCAAAAAAAATAAAGATTCAGGCCCTCAATTTGGGTGGCTTGGTTTAGAATAGAGGGGCACATCTGCATGGCCCTTTCCCCTTGTTTTTATCTGTTGCTCTATATTCACTTTCTGCTATCTTCCATCTTTCTTTTATATTTATGATAGGAACTCAATAGAAGTAATTAAGTTTTGTGACACTTTTACATTTAACTATCACATAGTGTTCTTGTTTGTTGGTGAGACTCTTTTGATCTAAAATTTTATGAAGTATGGTTGTTTCTCAGTGACCTTGGGGCATTAGATTCAGCTTTCCCCACAGATACCAGAATCTGAGGTCCTTTCTATAAAATATCAGTGTCCTTTCATATGATCACTATACTTCCTCTTATGTAGCTTAGCATCTCCATTTAAGCATCTCTTCATTACTTACAATACCTGAGATAGTACAAATGCTCTGTAAATAGTCATATTGATTAGGTAAGACAAAGTGTCCATACATATTCACAGTTTATTCACTACAACATATATTTGATTCTCAATTGACTGTATTCTGCTTAATAATTCTTATTTATGGAGGTAGTTTAAATGAGATTTTAGAAAGTCATGTGAGGATTTGGAAGAAAATTAAGTTGCTATAAAACCAGAAACAAATTGTGTTTCAAATGCATTGTTACTTGTTCTTATAGAACATATGCTCATTTCTTTTTTGTATATAAATATTTTTATTGAGCTTTTGTAATTTCATACAAGTTTTTAAATCAAATTTAAAACCCCCTCCTCCATACCCCCCCATACCTCCACCAGACGTGTTTATTCTGCCATACATGTTAAGTCCTATCCATTCAGGCATTTGTACCAAATGGCCTTCAATATAAATTCATTCCCTGGAGCCTAGTCAGCCCATCTAGCGATCCTATGTAAGGCATATTCTCCTTCACCCAGCAGCAATCAGTCTCTAATAGTTCTCAGCCTAGTGCCGGCCCACCACCTATTTCTCGCCTCCTCTTTGGGCCCTTGTTTAATTGAGTTGACATGGGTCCTGAGCTCGATGCCACTGTTACCACAAGTTCATAGGTACAAGCTTCCAGTGGCCTGAAAGCATCTGCTTCCCTGTGCTCACGAAACTTCCCTGGCTCTTACAGTCTTTCTGTCCCTTCTTCTGCAATGGGTGGATGAGCCTTCGTATAGGAGTCTTACCCTATACTCTGCAGTCTCTTATTCTTTAAAACTTGTCCAGTTGTGACATTCTGTGTGCATTGCACTCTGTTGTATGAGGAAGCGTTACTGGTAAGAGTTGAGAGATGCATTAGTTTTCTCTCTACTCCAAAAATAATACAAACCTTTTGGTTATCTTCCAGAACTACTAGATAAGACCTTACTGCTGAAGACAGGACATACTTAGGATACAGGACTTGAAACAATGGAGCAGGAACTGACCTGGAAGCCTTCTAACTGAAGTTTGGCTATCATAATGCTAGATGATGATATGCAAACTGCCAAGGGAGAAAAAAAATCAATGGTCCAACCCAGCCTTAAAGCCTAATGACCATAATGACCATCATGGCAAACTACCTCTATTGGTGTTGTAGTGTTACTGTTATCTAGGGCACAATCAACAGCTGTATAATTGGACATGAAGCCCTTTCAATGGGAGGGAACTCATGGCTGGCACTGTAAACTCAGCTAAATACAAATGGCAGGAGAGGATGTAGATCCTAGAGAAAACTCTATCTCTTTCATATCTCAAGATAAATGGAATTTCTTACTGTATGCTAAATACTCATTTCTTTTAGAAAATCATTTTATTGTTTTAAATTAAGTATATGTGTGTATTTCTGTGTGTGGGTATGTGCATGTGAATGGAAGTGTCCATCGAGGTCAAACATGTCTAATACCCCTGCAGCTGGAGTTGCAAATGGTTGTGAGCCACCTGATGTGGGTAGTGAGAACTGAATTCATATCTTCTGCACGCACAGCACATTCTCTTAACCGTCTTAACTGCTGAGCCATCTCCCCAGCTCCTACATGCTAATTTCTCAGAGTTCATTCAAAGTCTCTTCCTTAAAGTAAAATTTTAGACAAAATAATTTTCTGAAAATTCTTGTGTTCATTTAAAAAAATCTTTGATTTGATAAAAACCAATCAAATAAATAAAGAAAAAACTACAAAAACCAACAACCAAAAAAAACAAAAACAAAAATTCTTTTATGATTTTTACCCAGTGACTGTGACAAGTGACTGTCAGATTTAACTCAATACTTCTTTGTTGTGATAGGTACACACTGGTGGATATTTTGCGTGCCATCTTACTTTCTTTAGAAGCTATGATTGAAGATCCTGAGCTTCAAGTAAATGGGTTTGTTCTGATCATAGACTGGAGTAACTTTACCTTCAAGCAAGCCTCTAAGCTTACACCTAGCATGCTGCGGCTCGCTATTGAAGGCCTTCAGGTAAGGATATACCTATTATTATTTTGTTGTCTACCTTATTTTACTTGTTTTATGCATTAGAATATAGAACATAGAATAGGATAGTGAAAACAAAAGGTTGTAGATTTTTAGCACATATTTAGGGAGAATAATGGAACAAAGGATTGGGCAAGGAAAATTCAGAGATGATAGCCTTTTAAATAGATGAGGTTTGGATCTGGAGAGATGGCTCAGAGGTTAAGAGCACCGGCTGCTCTTGCAGAGGACCTGGGTTCAGTTCCTAGCATCCACATGATGGCTAACTACCGTGCCCTCTTCTGACCTCCATGGGTATTGCACAACACAGGTGCACTTACACACCTGCAGGCAAAACACTCATACACATAAAATAAAAAAAAATGAATAAAATATTTTTAAAATTAGATGAGGGTTGTGAATTGTGGCAGGAGCCTGCTTTATATCCAAACAATACATAAAGAGAATGAACAAAAAATTTTAGCTTGATAATCAGAACATGCAGCATTTTCATTGAGGTATTATTATTTAGGCTTGCTTTTTGTTTCCTTTTTTGTGATGTCAGTGAATTAGCTAGAAAATTTGCTTCATGACTCCACTTAAGCTAGTAGATTTTGTGTCACATCAATAATATCTTCATGTTGCCCAACAGTAATAAATGTTCTTTCTCAGTCTTTAAGGAATAGAAATCATTGTTTTGAAATATTTCTGCAAATGAATTGGGATTACAGCTTTATTCTCTTTGTGGGTGGAAGAGGCTGTAATGTAGAATTTATATAGTAATGGTGCATTTTTCTAGGAACTAGTGTTTAGCTGGTTGGGAATCATAAACTGGAAACTGAACCACTGTGCTTGTCATTCATAATCCTGCTATTATCAAATTCTTTTTAACGTTCAGGATATCCTGAAAAGTAGACAGCAGAATTCTGTACACTTTACCACATGCTGCTTTATGTGCAAGATATCTAGAACTGCTTGTGAGCTTTTAGAAAGATTTATAAGTTCACTAAAATTATGTTATTATTTATTCTTTGTGCTCTCAACACATACTAGAGGTATGAAAATTCACCTCAAAATATGAGTCTATCATTCAGAATATGCATTTTTTTAAAAAAAATTGTTATATAGTTAACATTCCTTAAAGCAGGATGCTACATTTTCTTTAAATGATAAGTAAACCAAAGCAATCGAGATCTTATACTTTCTCTGCTGGTGTCTCCAGGCAACTAAATTGATGATTACTGATCCCCCTAACTATGAGTTCCTCCTCTAGGTTGCAGGATGACTTGACCAAATTCAATTCACAGTTTGGAGCTTGCCTCTGGACTGAAAAAGACATACTGACCTCCACATACATTTTCCTGATGTGAAAGTCCTGACTTGCTCTTGACAATTAGCCTTGCTCCTGTCTTATCTTAAGCAACACCTTTTTATAACACCACAGAGACAGATAATAAGAGTAGGGAGAGGGCAAAGACAATGCATACTTGACAATGTACATATTGTATATTCTGCCCATTTCCAGCAATATATAAAGTGTTCTTCAGCTTGTGAATAAACTAGCTACCACAAACTATGTTATCTAACACAAAATCATAACTTAGCCCAGGTCTTATTATCTATTTAACACATCTCCCATTGGTATCAGAACCAGTGTAGGCCTTTAGCAGTAGAAGGGTGGAGAATTCATACTATATCCAAGACAATTTTAAAAGTACCTCAAGCACACACAGATGGGGCTTCTTTAATAATGTGATAAATTGCTGCAGAGGATCAAACAGATGGCTTAGAGATTGTGGGGAGGGTTTCTCATTGCTGTGGCCACTATTCAAGTTTGAAGTGCTTAGTTGACACCGATAGGCACTACTGTCAGTTGGGCCTAGAGAGGAAAACCGTTTCCATTCTCTGTATAGGCCTCTCCTGCACATATAGAATGGCCTTCTCTTTACTGTCTCTGTCTTTTCTCCAAAATTTAGACCCATTAAGCAGACCTAAATCCTCATGATTGCCCATTGGGAAATACGTAAAAGAAAGAAACTCTTTCTGAGAATTGAATTTGACATGATACTGAGTTTTAATTTCAAATTATCTTCAGTTCAAGCTGATGTTTTAATCCTAAACATCTCTTCCCATGTTTGTGCCTATAGAACTGTATCTAAAACAGTGTTTCTGAATAGTAATATGGCTAAATATGTTCCATTATAACACACCTGGGCTCATATTTAGTCTCATATTGAAGTTACATTTTCTGACTTTTAAAATCAAGTCTCAGTTTTGGCTTGCATTTATGTTGTAAAAAATATTAATGCACATTTCTATTTATTCTAACCAGGGTATTAATGCTAACAGTTTTTCAGAATTAATGTAAGACTGATACATGTTTGAAATAAAGATACACAATTTTAGATTGCTATCTCAACAGTCACCACAATCAAAACTATCAGCACTACCATAGAAGGAATTCCCCCCAGTTAAACTATTTAGACAGTTAAGAAACCAAACTACTTTTAAGAACTTGGTGATAGCATACCATAGCTTTGCTATAATGTTACTTTAATTTAGGTAAATGCAAGTAGTATTCTAGGGTATTGAACCAAAAATAAGAAAGGCTGCCCATAAGTCAAGTGAGAAACAAGATGGAGAGACAGAAACAGTATGCTCTCAGGAGCCAGACAGACCTGGATCTGGATGGCAGTCCTGCCACAAATCAAGTATTTGTGAAATTATACAATGTGTTTGACTACTAATTTAAAGTGTTATTATATCATAAATGATGTGTCTTACACTTAGCAGGTGATATCATAGCTAAAGTTGGTATGGATAAGATGTTTTTCAGGTGGCACATGTTTTTATTATCAATGTGAGCTCATTTCTTATAGTTCAGTAATTTCTCAATCTGGAATACATTATAGTTGATTGGCTTTGGCAATCTCTCTCTCTCTCTCTCTCTCTCTCTCTCTTCTTGGCACTCATATTATATATACATAAATTATATTTTTTACCTGTTACTTCTTTGTGGTTAAACAACATGTATATATTTCCACACTGGATGCCAAATAAAATATATTTTCAATTTGGAAGCTTGTAAAAAGAGTGAGGTTCTTCCCCTTGTTACAATTTAGCATTTAATGCTTCTGCGAGAATCCCCAGACATAGCTGGAGAGTTGTTGGTTGTGAAGAAGATGGTTTAGTTTTGAAGGCTGAGCAAAAGTTTGCTAAGTGGACAAGGACAAGAAAGGGTTTAAGTCAAGGGGGCATTAAGAAAATAGTTTAGACAAACACAGAACTAGGGGGTGTTTGGAGGACACAATGAATCCATTCTGATGAGATGACAATGAGAAATGGACTGAGGAAAATAAGCAGAGATGAGCCTGGAAAAGCAGGCTGGGACCTGGATCTATGGGATGAAAGAGTTCAAGTTATATGGTTTTGCCTGTACTCTCCAGAGCATAGGGGAGTTGGGACAGGATTATGCCTTGATCACTTTTCCATTTTGGAAAGATTTTCAGCATAGAAGAATAAACTTGAGTCAAAAGAATGAGAAAATCCACAAAGTACTATTGAGTTGATTATATTAATTCTGTTTATAGGCTAGGAAGTGAAACTTTAGAGAGTTTAAGACACTTTTTTTTAAGACAGATTTTCTTAGCTGGTAGTCTTGAGTCCAGGTTGTCTGACTCTGGACATCAATATCTTTCCAGAGTCTTGTGTTTTTTGATTCTTGGCATGATCCTAAGAAAGGGTAAGTAATCTCAGGTTGAAGTAATTACTCAACCCCATATTGTCACATTTAAATATAAGTGAAATGGGCATTGTAAGATAGATAGTGCACTTCTAGTTAAAGAAGTCACAAATGACAGGCCCGTTTTTTGAACTTTGTTGACACTCCCCAGTGAACAGCTCCCTTGAGTGACCATTTGTCTCTCAGTTCTCAGTGACAGAGCTTGAGGGCCAAGGGAAAGACATTTTTGCTGGTAGCCAAGAGGCCTTTTATGCATAGAACTGTACTTGACATTTGTAATTTTGGTCCAAGGGGATTCTCATGCCTTTTCTGTGCAGAATCGCCAAAAATTTTCAAAATATGAGTGGCATCCACTATTTAACCCACATAAAAATACACTTTCTTGATAGGTAAGAGTAACAGCAGCTGTTTTAGAGGGAAGGTAATATTCTAGCTTCATTGGAAAGAAAAGAAAACAAGACAATTGTCTTGCCACTTACAAGAAGTTAATTGATTAGTGTAGTCATAGAAACAGGAATTTCATTTAAAATCAATATAAGATTAAGTGAATGTGACTTGTAGACTGTAAGTTAGCTGCCTGGGAAGCCAATTAAAGCATGAAATGTTTGGAAATACTCTGCACAGCTTAGATTTTTAATTCATAGTGAAACAATGATGCACTTTTATAGTATTTTTATTTCTGTTGCTCTTAGAAAATATCTTGGAAATGTCTTTAGTTATGAAAAGCCAAAAGCCTACTTGCATTGCTTCTTGCCTTTGGATACAGTTATGCATTATTCTCCTTACTGCTACCCCGCCGTGTCTCTGCTTTTACTTTAAGTTTCCCTAGAATCCCCCAACTCCATCTGCATAATGCATCCAAGACATGGCTCACTGGCAAAGGGTTTGGTTGTGACAAGGGACTGAATAGCTCTTTGAATTGCTACATAAAGCTCAGATGTAGGACCATTGTAAAGTACCTAACATAGTGCCAGATATTCCAAAATTCCTTATTAAATGGGGCTTGTGAAAGAATAAAGAATATGTAGCTAATTCACTAGCCCTTTCATTTGACTCAAGGACCTAGCATTACCAGCAGCAGGCAGCCTGGTAGTTCAGAGTGCTCTGATCATTCATGCAGAAGGCAAAAAGTGTAGCAACTACACATTCTGGCTCTGATTCTTTGGAAGCCCAGTTCTACATAGGGAATCCTGCCAAAAATCAGAGCACATGCTAATGACTTGGAACATCACTGTTTAAGGCCAGCAAGTGAGGAGCCCCATTA